GCTTTGGCTGGGTTGAAGGAACAGGTGGAGAAGTTGAAGGCTGGGGATATTAGTGGATTGAAACAGAAAATGAAGGACCAAGCTTCCAAGTCGAAGAGCGAGATGATGCAACACGATGATGATGAGGAGAGTGGAGATGAGGTGAAGAAAGGTGGTGCAAAGAAAGATGACAATAGTGATCCTTGGGGTTTCAACGACTCTTCTGTGAAGAAGGACTGGAAGAAAATGAAATGCCCATTGTTTGAAATGTTCCACTGGAATCGTGTTGTCGTGGACGAGTTTACATACCTGACGGACCGAGTTCACGCGGCAATTTTGTATGTCAAGGCTTCTCATCGCTGGGTGTTGTCTGGGACTCCACCGATTAAAACCTTTCACGACATCAAAACCATGGCGATTCTACTTGGTGTAAACCTCGGTGTGGACGACGAAGCCGAATTTAACGCTCAGGATGCCAAACGAAGACGCAAGGAGGCAACACAAGTCGAATTGTTCCATGCGTTCCGCGAGATCCATAGTCCTGCGTGGCATCTTCGCCGCCACAACCTTGCCCAGACTTTCTTGGACCGTTTCGTGAGGCAGAATATTGCCGAGATTGACGAGATCAAGTTTGAGGATGCCGTAGTTCCTGTTAGGTTGCCACCAGCTGAGAGAGCTATTTACCTGGAGCTTGAACACCATTTACAAGCTATGGATATGAATTCGAAAAAGGCCGTCAAGTCAAAGCGCGATGGTGACAGTGATCGGGAGAAGCGGATGATTAAAGCGCTTGGATCGTCCAACTCTGCTGAAGAAGCTTTGATGAAGAGATGTTCTCACTTTGATCTTGATAAGGAAGATGGTCGAGGAAAGGATTCAGCCGACAAAGATAATGACAATGCGGGAGACGATGTCGAAGATGAAGATGCTGAGGATAACGATGATGATGACTCGGATGATGGTCGTAAGTCAAAGAAGAAAAATGGCACGAAGCAACCCAAAAAGAAGGAGAGTCTTCTTCCTGTTACCCGTGGCGACCAACGCCGTCTCACCGCTTTGGAAACATGTGACGAAATTGTCGAAGTGCGTCAACGTCAGATGGATGATTGTTGCGAGGACCTTTGGAGACATCTCTGCAGCACCGACAAACTCCGACGCGATATTCAAAAGCGCAAGGAGTACAAGCAGTTTGTTAAAGACGAAAGGATTAGGCTTAAGGACGAGTCCATTGATTACTTGGACAAGTGGCTAATCAGTCTCGGCACTTGTGCGAGCGGTATTGAAGACCGTGAAACGAACGCCATGGTGTTTGACATTGTTAGGGACAGCAAATGTCAAATCCCTGAATCTGTTGCTGAGCAGTTTGATGAGGCAAATGATGATGGGGTGAAAGAACTTGGACATCGGTATGGGTGGCCCAAACGAAAGGTAGGAATGCGCGCAAAGGAGCTCAAGGTGAAGGATTTGATTGACGCGGATGAGGTGAGCTCAAAACCAGTTGCGGATCTTATGTTTGATGTTCGTGAAAACTCGCATATTATTCGTCGATTGCACAAGGAGCTTGCCGGGAGGGTGCGATCGTTGAGGTTCTTCGAAGTCGTTCGGAACTTGTTGAAGGAGGATAAGCGTAAGGAAATTATTCGAATGGCCATCAAAGAGTGCCCTGGCGGTGATGATTGCCCCATGAAGAAGAAGCTTTTGGCTGCGAGTGGATCGAAAGAGAAGGAGGAACTCTTGTCGCTTTCCAACGTTGCAATTCTCTCGTGCTGCGGTCACTTCGGGTGTTCTCATTGTATTAATTTGTCGGCATCGAGGCAGGTTTGCCCTGAACCTGGTTGTGGTATCAATGTTCATGATAAAGCCGTTGTGAAAGCTTCGTGCCTCGAATCTGGTCTTGACAAAGATGGTACGACTGACGCTGGTGTATCTGGCGAGTTTGGTGCTAAATTGACGCAATTGGTCGACATTCTTCGAAACAAGGTTGGCAAGGATGAGCGCGCGCTGGTCTTTGTACAGTTTCCTGATCTTATTCTCAAGGTGGCCGAGGCCCTTGACGCCGAGGGTATTCGGTACTTGCAGATTAAAGGTACTGCGACTCAAAAGAGTAAAGCATTACAAGAGTTTCAAACTGAGGGGGCCAAAGGGAAAGATGTCGTTCGGGTGTTGCTTTTGAATGTTGTGGATGAGAGTGCTGCTGGTGCCAACCTGACTGTCGCTAACCATGTGATATTTTTGGGACCATTGTTGGGGACCAGTCATGAGTGGACTATGGCTTGTGAGACGCAGGCTATTGGGCGTGCCAAGAGGTATGGACAGAGAAAGACTGTGATGATTTGGAGGCTCGTGGCTGATGATACCATTGATAGTGAGTTGATGGAGAGGAGGAGGGTGTATTTGGAGAGGGAAGCGGCAGCCAAAATGGCTGATGGTGTTTGAAGCTGGTGCGTGATAGATGATGATGACATTGGGTGGTGTTGGTTTGTTGCTTTTTTTTTTATCGCTTTTGGTTTCTATTACTGTTTCAAACAATTTTTTTTGTATTTCTTTTTATTATTGGGACTTTTTAATGTTTGTATGTAGGTGTTTTTTTATTATTTATAAATATCAATATATGTGGATAATTATTCAAAGTTATGATGATATGGAGAGGTAGAAAGAATAGGGGATGCATATGCAGATGACGAAAGGGTTTTTTTTGTGATTGAGGTGGAGCAGAGCAGCATCTCTTGCAAATCAATCGCCACTGGCAAAGTCATCATCATTATCATCATCGTTATCAGCATCATTGGGATTATGTGGCAAAAACTTAAAAACAACTTGGTGGTGAATTGCACGAGTGTCGAACGAGATCGAATGAGCTTTAAAAGTCAATAGAAAGCATTACCAAGAATAAACGTGCACCTTTGATGCCTATTTATTTGATGAAGAACTGGAATTGGTTAAATCGCTGCCCAAACAGTGGAGGAAACTCGCGGATGATATGAATGCAAAGGTGGATCATTTGAACATTTTGAGTAAGTGGTTGTCTCTTTTTTATTGGGGTCTCAAAAGTTCAACATAGGATGTTATGGAAAACGAAAAAAAAAAACATGAAGTTTTTTGTTATTACGCTAACTCGGTCTGGTCATATCATCATAATTAAGCTGACGGTCTTGATGCTCTCGAACTAAACTCAAAAATGAGGCTCGCAAAGATAAGGAACGAAGTATTCTTGAATACGTGACTATGCGTGTGTTTCTATTAACCCCGCCCTCTTCGTTCTGGAATATAACGTGCCTTGTAGCGAAACAAAAGAACAAGAATGTGAACCTCTTAACCGAATGTGTGATATCTTGTGTCTCCTCTCTTTCATTTGTTTCCCCTTTTGATAATCATCTGCTTTTTCTTCCTCTTATGTTATGTTGTCTTGAGAAACTAACATCCTCTGTCTATTCTTTCTAATTACTATTCTTTCTTTTTTATTAATTGTCATGTCAACATTGCCTTTACCATCGCTCAAGTTGATTTTCTTGAGTGTCTGGAGTTGGATGACCAGTGCCACTTTTCCTTTGAACTATAGCAGAGTTTACGTTGATCAATCAACCTTATCACAGTAGCGGTACAGGACAGAAAACCTGCAGTTATTGTCGTAGCTACCACCAACAAGAATAGAAGTGAACATACTCGAGTGGTGAGGAACTGGAATTGCAAGGCATCGGAAAGGATGGGTTGATTGTCGCGATAACTTTGACCTTTAATTGTTTTAAATCAAACCTTGTTTGTATTATTTATTTCTCTTTGGTTGGTTTTAACATAAACACGGTTCTTTAAGTGGTCTACACCATCTTTGTTCATACTTTCTTTGAGTCCATTACATTCCAATAAAACAAAAGTAAAAAGAAGAGAAATGTCAAAGAAAGCAATACTAATTGTGCTTAATGCTATAAACATGCACATTTTTTGTTTTCCTACTGCTAGCAAGAAAAATCAAACTCATTCTCTTTAATCAACATCCATTCTCTTGATCCCAAATATTAATAAAAAATGTTTGAACACCAAGTATCCACCAACTCTAGAAATGAAATATGAACGCGTCGAAAAATAAAAAATTTTGGTCAAAAAACACACATCAAACACAACAACAAAATTCATCTTCACAATCATAAAAACGATCATAATAAATACACGAAAAATCGTAAAAATACCATTCAACCATCAATCGATGCCCCATTAAACGTTGTATCTATTGGTACCACAAAAAAAGAAACTTGATTAGAAAAAAAAAAAGTTGGTCAAGGTGAGGGTTGAACTCACGACTTCAGACTTGCATGTCGGCGCTAGGCCGCCATAAGATCCACACGCTACCACTGCGTCACATGACCTGGTTGTCGCACTCCTGACTTTCATTCGCCATAGAGGCTCATTTTACCTTGTTTTTATAATGTCCAAGCAAGACTGAAAGTACTTGGCAAAAAAAGGACAAAGAG